CTACTTATCACAACAAAAAAAGGCTCGTGGCGTTTTGATCCTAGGCCAGAGGCCCATATAAGAAAATTATTAAAGTCCCGGATAATTAACTCGTTAATTATTTTTGCGTAATTACCTTTTTTAATATTGTGTTTAAGGGCATGGTTTAAATTAGAAAATTGCTCAGCATCATCGAAAACCACTAAATCAACAAATTGCAGAACGATAGAAGGAACGCGAAGCATTTTACGGCTTTTGTGAAAAATCGCACAAATTCGACCGGTGTTTAAGTTGCTTGTTATCGGAGCGCATCTCCGCGGCACCGCGCCCCGTGGAGAGATAGTGCAACCAACCTCTGCTGCGCTGTCATCGCGCGACGCAATTGAGAAGTCAATTTATGTAGTCACCTCGAAGGACCAACGAGACATCGTGAGAAAAGAGCCACAATCTCAAATCGAGGCGATTAAATATAGCTTCGTTAACCTTTTTAAAACTCGAAGCATTCCTGACGGTGAGACGCTCGGCAGAACTCTCCGTACCGGTTACCAGCCAAGTTTCGTTTTTCATTGGCACCTTCGGTGCGGCATCACGTAGTGACCGAATGCACCGCTTGCAGGTCTGTCAAATACGTACCTCGCCGCTCAAATTCTGACTCTGTGGGCTCAGTTTAAAGTAAACATTTCAGTACTGCTGCAGCATAACCAATATTTGGTTAGTGCAAGCACGAAAGGTGCTTGGTTTTCCTGTAGCTTGCAACTTTGTCACATCAAGTAGAGCTTCACAGACACTTGGTGTACGGGCTATACACCTTTTCGTGACGCCTTGGTGCACGAGCGCGAAAAAATACTACAGCTACTGCTACAAAAAACGAGCCTTGGCTTCGCTGTACACGCCCGTCACTGGCAAAAGCAAATAAACGAAACACAATGCTTTTGCCCTCCCTACGGCACGCAAATAAGCGCAAATTCTTCCTCATATCAACGTACACCTCCCGCCCAAATTGTATACTAATGGAGAATGAAGTATTTGCAAACCCTGAAATGAGCCGCGACGGAGATCACACCGAATAGTCCCAACAGCTGTCCCCTGCTCCTCGGCAACCTTCTTAAGCATGCGTTACGGCCTTTGGAATGCTGTGTCAAGCCGGCGGTCCGGTTAAGGATGTTGATAAAACAAAAGAAGCTCGAGAAATCATATTAGGAATGTTCCTTCGGTGCGTGGAACTCTTGCATGGTTTCTCCTGTGCTCGTGCCAATTTTCGAATAGTAGGCGTAGTAAAAGGCGCAGTTCCTCGCACGCACACTCGGGCATCGCACCTCAGAAAATGTATTTCAACGTGGTTCAGCCTAAGAGATCATATAATAAGAAAAAATATACATTCTCAAGAAAAAAGGATGTAAAAGGATGAATCGTTACACCCTCTGTCCCTTATAATACACTCCAAAACGACAATTCGACGTACTGCGCCCTACAGTCGAACAGACGGCCCGAAATTTTACGAGGGGCTTGATAGCCGTGTGGTACAACTTAGTAAAATAGTTAATGTACGTGTTACTGACTAAAAAAAAATAATCGGGGTTTTCTTGGCCCTACTGCAAAAACTCCGTGTTTTCTTTATATGGTCTTTGATACGCACTTTAGCTATTTAAAAAAGTTATATCACACCGTTATCAAGCCCCTCGCAAAATTTGGGGCCGTCTGTTCGACTATAGGGTGCTGTACGTCGAAATGAAGTTTTGGGGTGTATTATATGGGACAAAGGGTGTAAAGATACACCCTTTTTTCTTGAGAGTGTGCGAGGCAGTCACGTTTATGATCCGACGATCTTTTGCGTTGTGTAACGACACGTGTTTGCTATAGATGGCAGTAAATGAGTCTTGCGAAGTCTAGTGCATAGTTTCGCCTGCGCTTGTAATAGGCATTACGAATATTGGGACATCCTACAATACAATTAACGTGATATACGTGTATATGAAAGCATTCTTGGTGTTACCAGCACAACAGCCTAAGAACGTTCGGCCAAAACTAAGCAAATTCTTTTAGCGAAGGAAAAAAAAAAATGGATGGGAGTTAGGCGACAACGGTCAACTGCAGCTGACAAAAATCAACACCCTCTCTCGTCAATCTTACGAGTCTACGAAGCAAAACGAAGCAAACGCTCGCAGCTGAAAAGTAATCCGCGTCGCTTCTCGAGACGCGAGGTCAAACCACGATCAATAATCGAGCCCCGAGTTGATTGAACCGCAAACAATTCCGACAGCCGTAGCCTTTACCGGAACGCGTGGGAGGGTGTTCTTATTCTTCACACGCGCCTTAACAACCATCACGTGGTTTTGATGCTTGTTTTGTGGTTTTCTTTATTAAAATGACTGATTTCAAAGGAGATATGCTGTTTTGCCTTCAATTGTTCGCCGGGAGTTGTTTCCTTATAACGCCAACGACACGAAGATTTTTTTGCCTGGTAGAGGTATACAGCTTCGCTGTAAAAATGGGGTTTATTGAACATTGGTGGTAGGGATCTGTGGCTAGCATGAAGAACACACTTGGTGCGTTATCCGTATTTGTATTGCTTTTTTAACGACGAGCAGCTTGGAGGGGCGTCCAAACAGGATACTACAAAACTCACGACTCCGACACATCGTCAGGCGCTCCGCTTCCGGCTGCCGGGGGGGAATTTCCCCCTGTCAAATCTACTGGAGGGAAACTTCTCCCCGTCAAATGTCCCCCTCGCTACCTCCACGGCGGCCTTGCTCTGCTCATCACGTGGGTCCGGAGAGCCACTCACACGCTCTGTTGGCTGTCGGTCCATCGCTCAAGGCCTCCTCCGGTTTGGAAGTCCCGAAAACGGCAAAGGGAACACTCGAGTGTGAGGGGAAAGCCAGGAGAGCGTGCGTCGTGTCCAAGGTATCTTCCAGCAGTTCTGTGGATTGGATCGGATTCCCGCGGCTCTTGTTCCCAACTTGCCTCGTATAGACAAACAAACCTGGTTGGTTTGGAGTTGAGTAAAACATTCTGCATGCCACTAAAAGTCTCACTGTCGCGCACTGCACTTTATTTCTTTCTTTTTTTTCGAGCTACGAACGTTTATTTTGACAAGGGAAGCTGAGCCGGGGTGGCCGAAACACGCGCTTCGAAGCAGGAATCTTCCAAATCCACCCGAAGCCGGATCTCTTTGGCCTTCCTGCTGAGGTGCCGGCGGTAGCAAGGTCGGCGACTTCGTCGTGGTCGTGAGCGTTGTAAATGACGATAGGGGGCGGAGGTGAGCCGTAGGAGATAGGAAAGCATCAGGAACACCATTGGCAGGTGGCTGTGGCGTTAAGTGTGGCGAGCACCGACGTCAAAGAGAAGTGGAGGAGGCGAGGAGGAGAGTCGTGAATTTGGCTTGGCCGGTGTCCAGACAGACAAACGACCGACGGCTACCGGACGCTTCAATTTTCACGATTTTTGCGGGAGTCGTGCGGCCTGACGATTTTCGTAGGAGCCTGTTTGGGCAGGCCTTAAAGTTTCCTTGTCCCCGTGTTCTGCGTTGTGTCCGCCAGGTGGGACGGCGGACTCCGACAAACAGGCTGCCCGTCGGTGTCGTCTGTCGCTCGTTGTCGCGTGTCGCTGTCGTTTGGTGCTGTTTGCCGCTTTAGTGGGACGCGGCTAATAAGACTTCCAGGGGGGATATTTAAAATAGTTTTATTCTCTTAAGAGGATATATGTGTTTTTATTGTGATTTTGTTAACTTAGAGGTAAGGAAACTGTAAGTATATATGAAGGCATTTATTTACTATCCACCTTCCCTCAGCTTCTCAAGGGCAATGTTCTTAAAGGCGACATACAGTCTCATTTTTAAAAATAAATGTGTACTTTGAGGTGGAATTGCAAATATTAATCTAATAAGGTATATCTGCTCTATGCTTCGCCCGTGGCACCGGGTTTCCCTTCAAACGCCCCGCCCCCCCCCCCCCCCCCCCCCCCCCCCAGCCTTCCCTCAAGTTTGAGCCATAAGTCTGCTCCTGCTAAAGTCTGCTCCTGCTAAAGAGATTTGAATCCGAAAAACCACGAATTCACTATATCACAGCCACTTGTAATGACCAACTTACATCGCAATGCTGAGGAGCTGAACCACAAAACTCTTAACGCTATCAAGATGGCCACGCGCACAGATATCCACAATTGGGTAGGTCACAAAGACTCTCTCTAGTTTTGCTAACAAATAACTCGTTTATCGAAACATGATTATACTAGTTTCCCCAAATACTCACATCTCTAAACCTTTTTTCTGGATAGCTGAAAACTTTGTTCTGTGTTGGACAACTTAACAGCGGCCATCGAACGCTTTATTTTTGCTTGTCGTACTAAACAGAGCGGTTGAGCGACGCCCTCCGTCTAATATCTAACACTCCACTTGAGATGGGCAAAAAAATGTTATTTCTCACTTACGCAGTCGTGCATTATAGCTTAATCGCACCGACATGGCCCACCGCGCCAACAGTGTCTGGTGTCAACTCTAATTTACATCAGCATTTTCGATGGGAACAAAGTTGCATCTCAAATCAAACCCAGTCGTTTTGCTTCCATGTTTTATTGAAAATTCAGTTGAATTGAACCTTACACGAAACGTTGAATACTCCGTTCGTTCGTGAGCTGCAACTAATTTATTATAAAAAAGGAATAGCAATTTTTTCTATTAAGATTGGCTGTAGAGACACCATTGTTAGCGACCGCTTAAGAAAGGCAGGTCGTGGCGTGTCCCTACCTTCTCATCTTCGCTGCGTAATACAGGATCGCTGAATTTGCCCATAAGAATACCGAAGAAGTAATTAGGATGAGAAAAACGCCGTCGGTAACTTGGCTGCTTTAAAATTGTTTAAGTGACACGATCATGTTTCTTTAATACGTTTATTTATCACGCTAATATACTAAACCTAAACGTGTTCGTTTTTTTTTTTTGCTTTTTTTTTTAATGTACGACGCAGATTTAGTGCAGAGACGTGATTTGTGTCAGAGGAACATTTCGATTATATTTCCGTGACTTAAGACAGATATCTTTTTTGCTTCTTCCTGCAGCGGCCGTTAATGCAGACCTAGAAAAATAATGAAACCCGTAAGGTTAGTTAGGCCTGATCTCCACAGTCAGCTATGGGGAGTGCGAGTTCGTCTGCTTCTTGCACACGGGTTGCGATAATGCCAGAACGCTGAGCTGTTATCGGCTGATCGAAAAACAAAATAGTGGGTAGATCTCGAGGCATCTAGCTTTGAGGTACACCCACTATCCTTCCGACCAAGGCCAATCAAAAGTCGGCATCGGTCTGACGTCACCGGAACCCCTCGTGCAAGGAGCAGGGGACTTGCTCTCCGAATAAAGTACAAACGATACAAAGTAAACAATTGTTTACTGAGCAACCCCGAAAAACCAATAAACGCATCACCCATACAAAATGTATATAATATCCCATGGTTCGAGCCCTGCGCGGACAACAGTATGGTGATTTGCATCCGATTCGCATCCCTAATGTTCTCATATTATTGCGTCCCCGTCCAATCCGCCGCCTGTATTCGCATCCAAACAGCATCGGCAAAATTCCGAACCGGAACCGACCCACAATCCGCGCATTCATTTTGCGTCGTGAAATCGAGCGTGGATGAGAAAAAGAAAGCATTTCAATGGCATCTTGTAAGCCAGTTGCTTATCTCGTTAGAAAAAACTCTTCGAATTAAAAAAACAAAAACAAAAAAAAACGCTGGAACGAATTTTACCGTGTTCTTTTTTTATCATATTTATATTGCAAACGATCGTCCTCCCAGAGATATTTTCGCGTCGCAGGAGAGAATATCGCAGAAGAGGTCATTTTGGGAGACTTCGACACTGCCCAGAAGATTCGCTCAAAATAAAAATTAACAATGTTTGGTGGAAGTGAATTTTAACGCTTTTCTTCGCGCCTTGTAGGATCACATTTCAGAAAAAGTGTAGTTGTAGGCCCTATCTATGTTGGAAGAGACAACAGCAACAAAAAAAAACACAAAAAAACAACCGCATCTCCACGTGGTGAATGATGTTGATTGGGGTGAAGGTCTGGTGGTGCTTGTCTGCGTAGACGGTGAGCCGCAGCATGTCGAGCCTTTCGTTCGTTTTCATCCATGTCAGAAAGACAATGTGTGGAACGTGGTTATATGCTCATTTGAGCATTTAACCGCAGCGTGACATGGATGAAAACGAACGAAAGGCTCGGCATGCTGCTGCTCAGCATCCACGCAGACAAGCACCACCAGAGCTTCGCCCCAATCAACATCATTCACCACGTGGAGATACGGTTGTTTTTTTGTTTGTTTTTTTGCCCTACACGAGCACGTGAGCTCGCGAGCAGGAGCACGTGCACCCGACGGCGGACGGACATACGGACATGGCTAGCCCCACGTGGCTAGCCCTTAAGGAGCTTTGCCCCTTAAAAACTTTCCGCCTTTCCACTCTGGTAAAGAAGAGAGGCCAGCGGAGCTGTACCATGGGAAGTAATGGCCGGTCTCAAGTCGGCAAGCCAGAGTGGAAAGGCTGCGCCATCTATGAGTGACGGCGGCCACCAGATATGTGACTGGCCGCCGTTGCTCATAAATGGCGGTACGCGTCCAGATGTCGGCGGGGGACACAATCCTGGGGAAACTAACCCTTAACAGTTCCGCTGTAAAAACAAGTTACATTATTTGTTTCGTGTTTTGCTCGTTTTTGCTTTGTGACTACGTACTTAAAAGCGCACACAAAATTTCTACACATAGAAGTTAAGGGGAAACGAGGCTTCTACTTTCCTCCGACATGCGCAGTGTCCCCCAAACGTAACGCCGCCACTTGGTTACCAAACATTGAGCTCGCGTAGGCTATTTACTGTTCAGTTTGCCATCAAGAGGTTCGGGATGCCTTTTTAAGGGTGAGATAAGAATGGGAAACTCATTCCTCACCGTGTTTAAGGTTTAGAAAAGTCTCATAACGTACTACGTTCAAAGAACGGTGAAGGCTCTTTCACATATGTACGTTTTAGAGTAAGTAACTGTGTCGCAACAGCATGAAACCGTTCACGAAGGTAGAACACGCACGGTGAAGCCACCGTACACCACCCTGGAGGTCTTGCCCGGACGCTTCCCCGGGTTCAGCCAGACTTGAGACCAGTTGAAAGATAAGCGTCCCAGCGAGCAACTCACTAATCAACATCGGACCCCCATCATTCGTAGCATCATCCCGCCGCCCTCGCCCGCAAGCTCCATTTCAACATTGTCAGCACCTCTATGTCTTCTGTACACAATTTCATCCCACCGTCATTAGATGCGGCGCCGCAGGCCTTCATGGTATGGGACACTTGCCTTTCTGCGGCGCCGCGGTTCTCCTGAACCAAAATAAATATTATCATCAATATTGTTAACAGTCCGGCACTATCTATTGGACAGACCTAGAACATTTCGGGTTTGAGTACGTACATGTATTTCGCATCACTCGTTCACTGCGTGTCTCAAATAATTATTGCAATGTTATTAGACGCCATTTCTTGCCGATATAGTGCATACAAGTTTTTGATATCGCAAATTTAAAGAAAAAGAAAACATTTAGTCTATAGGTACACTCAGAGCGGATCTGTTCCAGGGCTGCTTGATAGATGGCACCAGTGGATTGTTTCGTCACAAGCAGTTGCAGACGGTCTCAACGCAGTCAATCACACTCGAATGCAAAAGTCTAAAGTAGCCGTGACGTTCCAACAATGTCACGGAAAGACCTACATGCCCTCTTTTGTTGCATGTTGTCCCATCCATTAGTGAAACCATGATGTGTGTAGCGTAGCCGTACAGTCGTTTGGGAATAAAACACTGCATTCCACACTTTACGACCGGCTTGTCCTGAAAAAAAACAAAAACAAAAAAAAGTTTATGAAAAGAACAAAGGACTTCGCATGCTTCCATTAAAAAAGAAAAGGAACATGCCTTCATATGGTACGTTTCTTTCAAATCAGGGAATGCTCTCTTGCATTGAGCTGTCTTGGGCACTCCCTCTCCAGGCAAGCTCTTATCCCTCTTTTTTACTTTAGATTTGGCACTTTTAATGGGCAGGCATTTTGCTCGTAGCGACCTAATAAAGAGGCGCGCGTTTTATTCAGTATGCATTAGAGAGGGAAACGGGAAATGTGAGAAAAGAAAAACAAAAACAAAAAACACAGAGGTCAAGAAGAACGCAATGCTGACCGGATCAGAATTGCAGATATTGTTACTCTTTCTTTCGTGTTTATTTATTCTTTATATTTTCCTTAAACGAGAAACTTTATTGCGAAAAACGTTCTTCACCCTCAAGTAATTGTTTATTTAGATTGGTTACTTTAACTTGATCAATCTTTACATAAAAAAAAACAAACATAATTCGGTCTTTCGATGTTATAATTAAATTCGAGGACTTGGTAGGGCGTCCGTGTGCATGTTTTCCGTGACCATTGTCCTAAATATTATTCTAAATTTTATACAACGGTCTCTATTTTGCATTCAGTGAATACCTATCAACCCTTCCTGTAAACTTTCGCTTAACCTTTTTTTTTAAATTATTTGACAAAATAAATAAGCAAACTTTAGTAAAAAGGGTCAGTGACAGCTTAAGATACACGGCATGTAAACAGTTTTACGTTTGCTATATGAGTAGTTCTTTAGCATTTTTACCGTCTAATAAAATGTTCTCAATGGCTACGGAGCGTTACTAATAATTGGAGATTTGAATCGCATCGTAATCGTTTCTCAGTCAGTAATCGGAGATCAACTCGTTGTCTTTAGGCACATCGCCACGAGAAGTGCATGGCGCCGTCTTTCGTAGTAAGCTTTACTGGCTCATGCAATCATTTGTACAGTGAAACCCTGATCAAGTAAGATAAGAGTTTCCACTTTTACATGTACGTTCAAAACCAGAAAATCGGGCCTTAGCGCCTTTCTTTGGTTCAAGTGCCTCCTCTCATAAATCATAAACCTGTGATTTATGGAACCGTCGAGATTGCGACCACGGTTTTCAGTAGTAAGAATACACTTTCACAGGTAAGAAATTGGGAGTTCCCTTTAGGATGAAACGCGGGTGCTCGGCTCGCATCGAATCTGTTCAGGCATATTACCGTCATTCCGCTTCGAAAGGCAAGCATTGCAGGGCACCTTATCTGCCAAAGCAAAATTTATACGTCGCGCTTGTATTGTGCGTCTTGATGTTCACCCACCTTGCTCAAGGATCACACACGAAACAAAACAACAACAAGAGAGCAAGAACAGAACAACTTAAAGGCCAGCATAATTTTTTTAGTCATTCGGGTCATCTTTTGTTGCACATCGAAAAACGCTGAGAGACGCTCGTATTAGACCACGGTTTGTGCACGATAGAACGCTAGAATCCGCTTTCATGGTCATGTCTTGCGAGCCTCGCAGACGGTTTTAGATGGGGTCGGAATAGGGCCCTTTGGAAATTGTGGCCTCTGTTGGAATCTGCGGAGTTCCTTCACAATGGCGGACACAAGTGCTAGCTTCTTGCGTTCAAATGCGTCCCGACCCACGAGCCCTCGTGCAACGGCAGTATAAGTCCAAGATACCCGCTCGCGCTACGTGCACGTTCGGCAATGTCGTTCCTACCATCAATGTGTAGCTGATCCGATTTTCCTTTTTAATGGGCACATAACTTTTGAACCATGTCTAGAGCAGACAAACACAGGCGAAGGCGGACGCGGACGCGCCGCTTTCACGGCCGCGTCTTACGGCCGTTTAAACAACCGTAGACGGTGGTGGAATTGCAGAGGACGCCAATGGTTTCCACGCATCTGCTCGCACGACTAGCAGGCTGTGGGAGGCGCGAGACTAGAATCACCGGACGTTGCGATAGGAAGGCACTAGACCCTCGAGCGTGTATGGCCGAACAGCCAGGCCAATCCAGTATTAATGAGTGATGCCAATCATATGTGTGGGGGGTTCAAAGCAGTACGTGACCTCCACCTAAACTGCCTCTCAGTAAATACTGCGTGAAAACAAATTTGTTTCGTACAAAACTTTAAAAAATAGATGTCAAATTTAAAGCCTTAAAACGATTTTTTTTTAAATTTTAGTTTTTCCTTAATGGGCTATTTTAACCTCATTTTGGGGTATGAATACATGTTTCAAGCATATTTTACCTCCTTTTGTGAATAGCAGCCCATGCTTCAACGTGCTGTGTTTGCCTCCTGTGAGGTGAATCTTGAATACCTGTTTTAAGGGTTCTGGTTTTACCCCCTTTTAAGGTAACGACACTAAAAAATGCAGAACATCTACTTTCTCGTAAATCACTGGATAGAATAAACCCCTCCGATCTAAGGAGCATGCCATCAAGTTCGGTAATTTACGGGACAAAAATGTTTAGATCTAAAAAATGCAAAAAAAGACAAAACTGCCTGTGCTCTGGCCCTGGGCATAGTAAAACTTCATACTGCGTGCCACACTGCTGACTGTTCTTTTTTTTTAGGTCTAAGCAGACTAGCCGCGTCACTCGCCAAGCGCGCTTCGTAGATTGCGCCGACTGGCTCCCGCAAGTGCATTCCGTGAACGTAGTCGCTCCAAGATTACTTAGGATGTAGATATATATGTTTACCACTTTTGTCATGAAGCTAGAAAGGACGTGGGCATCGAAAGGAAAGAACACAAAAACAGTTGTTATTTGAAGAGTTTCCTTAATAATTCCGTCAAACCCTGCAAGTACATTGGTGCTACGACACGAAAATACACTTGTGGGAACTTATTCGGAGTCGATCCTAATTCTTGTGAGAAACAAGAACGCTGAAAGTGAAAACAGCGTTACAATGAGCCAGACATTCGCGTAACTGGAATCATTAGAAGACACCAATAGAAACACACAAACAATAATATTGTGGAATACTTTACAAATGTGGATCAACCTAACCAATTTCTAAGTAATTTTGTTGAAGTGATTTACCAGACCTACAATACCCAACCGAAACATCTAGCAAGGATATAAAGTAGGGTCGTAAATTAGGCCAGTTGGTAACAGCAAAATAGGATGAAATACAGCCTCGGCAAACACGGACGACGAAGAGGAAACGAACGCGACAGGACAGCGGGTGACCCGCAAAGGAAGTGTAATAAAACGTACACCCGCCGGCAATATGAAGGTGAACACCTTACCTGGTTTCTCGCCTGTTTTACGGCTCCCTAAAGCTATATTAACTCTCATCGTCTCAAATGGTACGTGGCTTTGGGTCTAAACTTTGCGTTCTAGCCCTCTTCTGGAACAGAGCTTCTTCCAAAACTTGCGGGAGCGTCAAAAACAAGACGGCTGTTCACCTTCGTATCGCCCACGGGTGTACCTTTGGTCTATCATGACGTGCCAATTTGTAATGAGATATCACACTGAGAGCCTCTTGTTGCCCGGTAGGCGTGCATTTTAATCTCTGTGTCTGTAATCAGTTTCAAAAATATCTTTGTTTCTATTTTATACAATAAACATCAGGCGCGAGTCAGACGTCCTGGTGACATCTTCGTTTCCTCTTCGTCGTCTGTGTTTACTGAGGATATATATCATCATGCCCGCAAGAACATAGACAAAAAAAAAGCATAATCACTCACCAAAATACAGACGCACGCGCCCTGTGTGCCTTCCCCTCATTCATTTAGACTAAGCATAGCCGGCTTAAGTTGAGCTATTTGGTACGTTATGTATGTCTCTGCTTCTCCCTGCTTGTGTATTGTCCCTATCGTTCTAGCTGACCGTTTACCTAAGTATACGCCCAGTTTTCTCTGAAAAATGTGGAAACAGCAGAAACACCAAGATAAAAATCAAAGCCTGCACCGAAGTGCCCGAATTCGAAAAAGAATTTAAAAATAAAATATAAGACTACTCGTACCTGCAAAAAAAAAAAGTGTTAAGAAGTGCTGTTTACGAGTTGACTAATACTAAGGTGGCAGCAACAGCAGCTTGCGGTGGTCCTCAGTAGACGACCAGGGCCCTCGACGAAATCACCCTTGAATGTTGAGGCAGAACGGAAGGAAACTGTGTCCAATCAACTTCAACATACGCCAGCAGGAGCCATCGAACTTTATATGTTGAATGATCAAACTTTAGAGATCAGAAGCGTAGAAAATGGGAAGGTGCCAACAAAATGATTGCTAGTCTCGTATCATTCCCTGATATGCATCCCTAACTGGTTCGGATGCGCACGCTTAGTTAGCTCGGGCATTTATATTTGCAACTTCAATGTAAGGTCACGGTTGGCTATAAAGAAAATAATCAACCTTCGCTAAATCGTAAAAGAATATCCATTACATTAAAATCAATTTAACGTCCTGTGCTACAAATATAAACCACATTGAGGATCAGTCAGAAAGGTGGAAAGACACCGGTAAATAATACCTAATCAGTTCATGATCAGCGAAAATATATGATTTTACACGATTCTCAGTGCGCTATTCAACGTTGGGCGCGACACACCACTGGCACCAAAAGAAGAAAACCCCCGTCTCCCTCCCGCTCTAAATGTTGGCGACCCCCCGATACATATTGTCACGGGTGGTGACCAATAAACAAGAAATAAACAGGAAGAAATAAACGTTTAATGTGGCGAACTTGTGCCAAAAATAAAAGGGTACAAAAGATAATAACAGAGCGTCGCGGGCGTCGAAGTCGGCGTAGCAGCAGAGTCGAACGCTGGGGCGAAACTGACTCCGGCTTGCCCGCGGAGCCGCTTTTGTACACACGTTGGCTTCTGGAGCGTTCGACGTAGAAGGTTCGACGCGTAGAACATTCTGACCTCGAATCAGCTAGACGGCTCTCGATTTCACCAGAACATCACATTACAGTGTCAACAAAAATGCATAGCCGCGGCCAGGAATCGAACCCTGGCCCTTCGCGTGGGAGGCAAGCGCGATAACCGTTAGGCTACGGCCGCGCTGCCTACTTGGCGCGCGGCAATATTGCGCCTTCTTCACGCCCGGCTCCGAATGGCTTTGAAGTCCCGTCCGCCGCTTCCGCCCCCTCTCCCCCCTTTCCCCTTTCCCCACACAAGCACCCCAAATCCTCTGGCGACGCGGCTGGTAAGAACATATGTGAGGGTTCTATATATGCGCTCGCGTAAGCGCGAGTAATTTTAGTTCTTGTCATTTATGAACTTCGATTGTCCAATCCTTTCGTATACGTTCACTCTGCACGCTGATTTCACCGAATGTTCGACGTCTACGAACGTGCAAACATGTCCGTCACCCCTCTCTTGTGGAAAAAGGGGGGTTGCCTTCTCAGTGCTATCACAACCGTAGACAACTGTCACCAAGGAAGATCATTTACATACCTCTATATGGTGCACACGACTTGGATATTTAAAAGACGCCAATGCTGTGCCCTCAGTGGCTTCGTAAAATGAAAACAGTGAGCCTAACAAAACAATAAAAAAATTGAAAGCCGTTTACAACTCCCTGTAACACCGAATTAGAGCGCAGCTCTTGAGGAGCAGGGGGGGAGGGTACTGGGGGAAGGGTGAAGTGACCTGGGGGGGGGGGTCACGTGACCTTGGGGGGTCACGTGACCTTGGGGGGTCACGTGACCTTGGGGGGTCACGTGACGATGCCGATGATGTTATCAGTGACGTCACTGGTGACGTCATCAGTGACGATGACGATGTGGACTCCGATGACGTCATCAGCGATGATGACGATGACGATGCGGATGTCGGTGACGTCATCTGTGATGATGACGATGACGATGCGGATGCCCCCAGAAGTCACGTGACACCCCCAGGTCACGTGACCAACCCCAGGATCACGTGACCCCCCGCCGAGGTCACGTGACCTCCCCGATGACGTCATCGTCACTGATGACGTCACCGGCATCCGCATCGTCATCATCACTGATGAGCTCATCAGTGACGTCACTGATGACCTCACCGGCATCCGCATCGTCATCGTCATCATCACTGCTGACGTCACCAGTGACGTCACTGATGACGTCACCGGCATCTGCATCGTCATCATCACTGATGACGTCATCAGTGACGTCACTGATGACCTCACCGGCATCCGCATCGTCATCGTCATCATCACTGCTGACGTCACCAGTGACGTCACTGATGACGTCACCGGCATCCGCATCGTCATCGTCATCATCACTGATGACGTCATCAGTGACGTCACTGATGACCTCACCGCCATCCGCATCGTCATCGTCATCATCACTGATGACCATGACGATGCGGATGCCGGTGACGTCATCAGTGACGATGACGTCATCGGCGAGGTCACGTGACCCTGGGGGTGGTCACGTGACCTGGGGTGTCACGTGACTTCGGGGGGGGGGGTCACGTGACCTTGGGGTGACCTTGGGGGTCACGTGACCTTGGGATGACCTTGGGGCCACGTGACCTTGGGATGACCTTGGTTACGCCGACGCCGACGCCGACGCCGACGGCGACGGCGACGCCAACGGCGACGCCGACGGCGACGCCGACGGCGACGCCGCTCAAGCCGGGAACGGGCCCCTAAGAGCTGCGCTCTAAAACGCAAGTATGCCGCGTTCGAATGTTCGTATCCTACGAAGAAAGACCGTTATGACTAGGGTTCCGTGTTTTCGGAGTTTTTTTGTTTTTTTTCGGCCAATTCAGAGGGTCTTTTTCGGAATTCATCTTTTGCCGAAAACTCTGAGTTTATCGGAGTTTTTTTTTATTTTTTTATTCGCAATTTTCCGAAATTCGGAGTTAAATTTCGTGGTGTTTCATATTAAAAATAAATAAATAATATTCCGCTGTCAACGTATGCTAGACTAAAAAAGATATGCATGTATTAATTAATATTTTCTTCAGATGGATTTGGCGTCGGTGCCATTATCAATGGCAATACTAAATTGTGCTACGACAAAAGTTGTACACAAGAGCTGCTTCGATAAACGTCGATACCTTAAGATCAGTAAACTCCCGAAGGTAAGCGCTTGGAAGCCTGTATCGATTACATCCTATTCCACCAACGTACAGCGCGGCCGCGCGAGGTGGAGAGGTAAAGCATATGATAAAGAAGTTTCAACTGTCCCTCCTTCCACCTCTGTGCAATGTATTTATTTATTTTTATAGCTTTCACTGTTACAAAAGCACAACCTCTCATACTCTGAAGCTCTAATAGTATGACCGAAACTGGAAACATAAACAGTGACTTTTGCCATGACCAGAAAATACAATGACATGTCGTCCTGACCGAGATGTGAAAGGTAACTTTGGTGGCATTTTCCCAGGTAGATTTACTCTGTGGGCTGATCAAACCTAATTGCAAAATAATTGTGCACGTGTGTGTGTGTGTGTGGGGGGGGGGGGGGGTCGGCACATTGAAATTCGGAGTTGATCGGATAAATCCGAGTTGATTAAATTTTTAGCGGCGGGTAGTTTTCGGTTTTTTTTTTTTTTTTAATTTCCCAAAAGACGGAACTCTAATTACGACACATTAGCAGCAGCCGGTATGGGTCAAGAGGTTCCCGCGCCCCCGCCTGGCAGGGGCTGGTTCACGCGTGAGCGATGAATTGCAAGCGATTCTCGTGTCATAAGAGGAAACCAAGTAGCGCTGTGGTTTGCGGCCGAATCGTCGTGGAAAGGGTATGATTCGGGCCGACCCGAGCCAATCGCAGCTGTCAAGACACGCATCATCCGGGAGGTAACATTCAACTTGTTTTTTACTTAGGGCGTTTAGGCGGTAACAGATGCTAGGAAAGGAGGGAGAATCGCTCCATCGGTCGCTCGGTAGGTAAAAGTTCGCAGTTCCATTCACCTGATATCTTTCTGATTTCTAAGGGTGCTGCATTTATTGTACAGTCAGTGACATCAGTATTGGTCCTTTGAGCCTCTTCTGAGCGACTGGGAGAAAGAACTAACAAAAACGACTTAGGCATTTCTGACTGCCTCGAATTTCCGATGGCAACTATAATGCAAAGAGCTCATACATTGCAGAAAATATAGCTGTAAGATCTGTGTGTCGCTCAGAAATCCAAGAGTTACCCTTTACGCGTAAACCGCTGAAATGTCTAAAAAAAATTAATGGCAACATACATTGCTTTTGCGAGACTACAGACAGGTGTGACATGCACGTAATTATCATACCTGGCCATACGGCTCATCTCGTTCTTGCAACACGAGGAGAATTTGTACTGGTTCGTATTGTGTACGTAATAGCTCATAAGGTATCCGTCAGCAAAAGGACAACCTGTAGATCCGGGACCTTCAATATGAGAAGGTGCAGGGTCGCCGTCGTGAGGGCATCCCATTCTGTGAAGCGTGAACGATTAAAATTACTATAATCGGTAACAGGTTAAAAGTACTGCAGAAGCTCCTCCCAGCTCTTTTTTCCTTTAGTAGAGTGAACGCTGGATAGAAGTCGCCTCCTCCCCAGCGTCCTCTCTGCTGTAGTGGGGAGAGGTGGGACAAATTCGGCCGGAACTCATACCTTGTCACTCATTATAGTATCATCATCTTTGATGAGGTGGGAAGTGTGTGTTGTAAGTATACTTGACCAGAGGTGATATCTTAATGTGAATGACACCAAGTAGGAACGCTTTTGACGGAACTCTGGCATTTACACCGAAAGAGGAGTTGCTATGTTCAATATTTGTTTTCGAAGGCCTTGATTTTTACCCCCACAATGTGTATTTTATTAGTTTACGCTGTTTGTTGTTTTATCTTTTATAATATATTCCTACTGACCACCTTACAGAAGAAAAAGTATGTATTACAAAATCAATTCGCGTGGATGCTCAAGCTAAGTGCTAAAAAATACACGAAGGGTGGTCAGGAGTTTTTTACCTCCTAGGCTGTAGCATTTTAATGAGTGATGAATTAAAATATGTTATATTCCAAGCAAAGTTTGAAATCTCTTCTGGCGCAGGAGCACATAACTTTCCAACATAGTTCCCACCGGTGACGAAGCACTTCCGCTACCCGTGCATTACTCTCCACATGCCTTCGTAGATGACAGAGGGCGGCTTTCTACAATACCAACATCGTGCTGTAGGGGTTGTAGTTCCCAAGATGTCTTGCCTCATTCAACTCACAACCCGGACCTCGTGCAAGCCGACGTTTGGCTATTCTCTAAGATAAAAGCACGTCTGAAGGGTGCAAGGTTTTCGTCCAGCGACGAGGTTACCGATGCAGTGCGCCGTTGGTGCCAACAGCCGCCCTCAATCATCTGCGACTGCATGCGGAAAGCAGTGACCGGTAGTGACCGGACTACATTGAAAAGTTAAGTGCGACTGGGAAAGAGAAGATTCTAAACTTTCACTCAAATGCACCAGATTTCAGTTCCTTCTTTTTGGAAAAATAAAAAGATCTGCAGGCCTACGAACCAAACATTATTGATCACCTCTCGTATATTGACAAGTAGTTGTTAGTGCTGCTCATTTGGCGTTTGACTGTAGTCAAATATTGTCACGCAATTTATTTGTAAAGTGTATAAATTCCTGCAACGGAATGTGCACCTGCATCATATTGACATTCAAATTTTATTTTGAAGAAGTTTAGCGGTGATTTTTTTATGTCACTGATTTTCCAGAAAACTGCCTCAACACACCAATAGACGCGGCTGTACCAGTTCCCCAAGTATTGTGTGAAAACAAAAACATTTCGCGAAGTTATTGGATTTATGAATTTTGTTTTCACCGTGTTTCTCAGACCGGGAGTGCCTACTGGCAACATTGAAGTGTGACTACAGAAATGGTACAAAGTGGGCAGTACGCTATGTTCCCAACTGATTACAAGACGTTCGATGTTGGGAAAAGAATGCTTGGTAACTGATTCACTGACAAGCACGCAAAAACGCTCCATATGCTTTGTTTAAGACTACACTCTAAAAAAAAAGGGAGTAGTACTTCCTCCCTTAAAGGAGGAACTCGCGTGTCCCTTATATTGCTCTATAAAGGGAGGAAATTTCCTCCTACAAAACGGGGAGGAAATTTGCTCCCCTAACAAGGGAGGAAAATTGCCACCTTTTTTTCACTCAATGGAGGAAACTTCCTCCCCTCGTGTAAGTGATATAGCTTTCAACAGATGGCGCTCAAAACGGCAAAAAAAAAAGTCGGAGAGGCGTCATTTTTTTTCTTTCTTTAGGTATTGCCGACTTTCGAACGCTGCATGGTGCACATACTTCACTGAACATACAGAATACACGGAACACACGCAGAACAACCACGCACACAACAGCAACAACGCAGCAACACCGGACCCCCTCGTCTCTCTACGTACGCCAAGTTCCCACTAGCTCTATATATAGCAGTCTTATTTTTGAATCCGATATTTTCGGTGACTGCTATCATTTGGCACATAAACACGGAAAGGTGGAGTAAATATTACTCTTACTTAATACATTATTTGAATTGTCTGGAGGAATAGCCCCCATCTCTTAATTCAACACCCCGAGCAAAGCAAATGTAGATCATTAGGCTAATTAACTAAAATTAAATAATTTTCTTCTGAATAAGTTCGATGAATTATCTTGACAATGCAGTGCTGAAATGCAGTACACTGTGCTAAACATTGCAATCAAGCTATTGCTTGATTGCGGTGTTCTGTGCCAGTGTAATTATTTTCAGTTTTGGTGGGGTAATTAATCTGTACATTTCGAGACGTCACACCACTGGAGAGAGCGCGGAAATCTGAACACTGGTTTCGGCATCATCATCAATTACAGTTCTCTAAATTGCTGTTCTGAATTTCTAGAAAATAAATAGCGTACTGTGAAGACTAAAGTCCGAGAAGTCAGAAAATTCAATTTGTACGAGTAGCTCACAGAACGGCCGGAGTACTCCTTGTAGTCTACAGGGAAACCCTCCAGCCTTATATACCGAGTAAACATAATTCAACAGTGATCTCCGTTTGATTACACACGTATAAAAAAAAATAACAATATTTCACGTGCTCACATGTGTTCCAGTTCATGAGTCATATGACGTACTCCCAAGTAGGTATTTGCCTTGTCTTCTCCTAGTCCCACTCTACTTGATCCACATGGCGCGGCAATAAACGCGAACCCTGGAAAGGTAAAGCGGGCGCCCAAAATATGAGCAAAAGTAACGGACCTCAATGTAAGTTTAGAATCGTGATTTCATTATTAACATTTTGTATTAGCTTGATATTTTATTGGTCACAAATTTTACTTCAAATTGCATTATATGACGCTTATATCTTACCCCAGTGGCCTTTGTCGACTTGTGGCCCAGTCAGTATGAACATGTCCCTTCTTGATGTGGCGTGAGCCATGAGAAAACACGCGGATCAAATGTGGATAACATAATCATACTTTAGAATTCTAGGATATTTACACTTTTATCTTAAGCACCATTATTTAAATTAATAAAAAACGGATTTGTTGATACAGATAATGCTGATTTTGTTTTGAATTTTCATTCCGGTTAATGCATATGCTACAAATTTTTCAACAATTTTCGACCATCAGTTAACTAGTTTAAAAAAACAAAAAAAAACAAAAAAAAACAACAAAACAACAACAACAACAAAAAAGCATAAAAAAATCAAGACTGTTCATATTCGTAAAGATTATATCAGTCATATTATTTTTATTTTTTGCATGCGAAGCTAAGAAGGTATTGTAAAATACTATCTTGTTTAGGATTGCCTATTACTGCTCTATATTACAATGAGTTCAAGTGGTGTTGAATGTTTCTTAATAATAAAGGAATTAAAATGTTTGTGTGTCCCGTCTTTTGTTGACAGTTGGTTCTTTGAACCCTGCAGAGACCCAGGTGAACCTTTCCGGTTTCATATTGGCCCTAACACTGTGTTGCTTGGTAACACACAGATTTATTTATGACATACCTCTGTTTGTTTCAATGTAAACGAAAAATGGTAAAAATACGCCCGTTACTATCTCGAACGCTATATATTTAAACATCTGAACGGGCAATTGGTTTAACCCTGTAAGTGTATACCATGCTACACTGGGCTCATTTCCAACTGTGCATAAACTGGTAACGCAATTCCTTTTTACCGTCACTCTGTTCCTTAAGCAGTTCGATCAGGTCATGATAAGATTCCTGCGGACACACTCCAAAGCAATGCGAATAACGCGATGCTCTGGTATTCTGCTTTAGCATGTTTTCATGCTATGTTACCTAAGGCCCTCGATGTCTCATGGTGGATTGGGCTGTTTGACACGTTAGTTCACATTTAGCGACTCGTTCAAGAATATTAAGACCATTTCATTGTTCACTAAATGTAAAGGTACCGAGGTCTTCATCACCTTTGATATTAGCCGTGCTACTTATTGTAACCCTACTGCGATGTATAGGCTGTCAGATTGTATTTTTGAACACTTTTTTTAAAGAGTGATTTGGAAGTGTGCTGTCTTTATTATGTATTTATCAGATTTTTTTGAATATCCTTAATTATTATAACGTTTTAGTCAGATTTACAACTTACGCGAAAAAAGACCACCGCAAGCCACAATGACGCTTTTGGCCGTGACGTAGTCATTTCAATCATGTCGTCGCTACCTGGGCAGCGTGTTCTTTGTGGGTGCGCCGACGACACGAGTGATGAAGTGACTGAAACTGTTGCGTAACTCTTCTAAGATTCATTGTGGGCGGGGCTCGACGTGCTCTCTGGGCAAGAATGTTTAAATCGGGCTAAAAACTGCTAACTTTTGTTGAATAACGTGTAAAAACACTATTAGGTTTTCGCAAATTCTTTCGAATAATCTGGCCTCTAATAGTAATTCCGTTCAATACTGCAACATCACATCAACATAACCTGGCAAATCAATATTTAAAAAGTTAATTCACTGTTTTCTTTTATTAGCCAGCTTAGAATTACGAGTGTCCTCTCACCTAATGTCCGCCGAGCCTAATAAATGCATTATGAAGACGGCACTGTCTAACTCTCACTCTTGTTTTAATGCGAAAGCATTAACTGGTCCCATAGAGTAAACCGAAGTTGTCAACTTTTGAAGCTCTGCCACGTAATTTCCCTGTCCCATGGAGCGGGGCTGTAGTATGTAGCAACGAATTCATGAATAAACTACCATTGGCCTGTGGCGCGGCATAGTTCCAAAGACCGCCACCTCACAGAGGATCCCTATTCATGGAGCAACGACCCGGCCGCCGGTAACAGGGTGAGTGGCCGTGCTCTGCAGAGCGGCCTACCTCACAGCCCGCCCGGGCAGTCTCCGCAGAGAGAGTCCGTCCGGGCTCAGAGCGGATCGCAGCTTGTAGAAATGCGCTACGTATACGAATGCTTTTGCATTCCGACACGTTAGCAGTCTTAAGTGACTTCGTTTTGAAAAGATCGGTTAGAAACCAAACCTTCATCCTGTATATCAGACACACCCCTGACCAGGGTGTCAACTAGGCAGAGAATATTCTAAATTTGACACGTCTTATGCCCCCACTTTTAGCTCAGGATGACATTATATATGTCATATTCATGTTGAATGTCTCCCCAGCATTAGCGAAGAGTTGGAAAAGCAAATTATAATTTTGGAGCAACACCACTAAATGAGATATTGGGATTATAAGAAACACAACGTCCGAAATCATTGTCTATATTCATTTGTTTCGTTTTGTTTGAAAAACTCATCTGAAGTTTTTGTCTCTTTAGGTATTTAAATTGTTACTAAACAAAAAATAAAGAATAAATATGTGCAGAGTACTTCGTTTACATTGTGCACAAAGCACCGAATGGCTCTATATGAATTAATCGGTCTCGGGGATAGCAGAAGTTGTGTAATTACCCGGTAACCATGTAGACGATGTCATAGGTGTCATAGTCTTCCTTGTTTTAGATGCGGAGCATCTCTTCCTCGGGTCTATGTCCCGCGGCGTCGTAGTCCGCACTCACACTACGCATGCGCAACTCTCCTCCTTCCCTCTCTCCAACAGCTGCGAGTTACTCTCTCCGCTCTCTCTCTCTACCAGCTGCGTGCACTTCGCGTGCGTTCGCTTCTACTCACACCGCGCGCGCATGCGCAACTCTCCTCCTCTAGTCTCCTCTCCTTCAAGTGTGAATATAAGTACCGGTAGCGCGCTGCGCGTTCAGTTCACCACTGTTGACTCCACTTCACTCCGTTCTTCCGATGAAGTGTGATGGAAGCAACAGTCCCGTCAGTCAGTGGGTTGGCGCAAGCAAGCGTCAGCACCACCCCACAAACTAACAGCAACGCTACGTCCACTGAAGACAAAGCAGCGAAGGGCACGCCACGCTGAGCGCAAACGCTTGAAGCGAGCGGCAGACCCTGAACTACGGCAACGAGAAGCGGCGTCCATTCGTCAACGTCGAGCGACGGATGCTGAACCACGACAACGTGAAGCAGCGGCGGTTCGAGAACGTCGAGCAGCAGAACCTGAGGTTCGGGACCGTGAAGTTCAACGTAAACGTACGAAGCGAGCGGCGGAACCCGACCTTCGAGAACCGGAAGCCGCGTTGGCTCGTGAACGTCGAGCAGCAGAACCTGAGGTTCGGGACCGTGAAGTTCAACAACGTTACAAACACCGTTAATAACACCGTTAATAACGATCCGCGATGCTCCGCATCACCCCATGGTTCCTCTCGGGAAGATGGTGTAATTTTTTTTTTTATTCAAGAAATCTCTCATGTGGTATACCGACTTGATTCCATCTATGGAGTTAGGCAGGCTAGGCGCAAAGGCCAAGAACGACTCTCTTGACTTCTGCAGCAGAAAAAAAGCAAGATATAATACAAATCCTACCATTATGTCGGGAACACGTGTTCCAAGCTTGAACACTCATGCCACGTTCAACTCACTAGATCAGGGTTCTCCAAACTCTTTTGGCTAAGGGGTAGGATTAGCGATCTCTGACAGTTTCAAGGGCCAAAACAGGGTGATTGTAAATGAAGAAAAACAAAATAAATAAATTTACATAAGAATTTAAACATAGAAATGAATGTTTGAGTAAGTACTAAAAGGAAACCTAAGGGGAATGGAATCCTATATTAAAATTCGGAGTTAAATATTTAGCTTATCTTGACATTACACAAATCTTGTGATGACGAAAACTCACCAGGCATAAATCAAAGCGCAAAGAAACTTTGGAACGTTCGCGTAGTGCAAAAGACTAATGAGAAAGATGGAACAAAGGCTGACAATATGTAATAGTTTTGACAGAGGACGCTAAGCACAATGTACATAAGAACGAATAGGAATTTTAGCATAGTTTCACCGATATCAAGCAGGGACTCAGAATTAGAAAACTAGTAAAGAAAATAATAAAGTAACTATAGGCAAAAGGTCTCGTGTTACGTTGCAGTTTGTCTCGTTCTTTCTGGTATCTTAGTTTGCGCACTTGAAGCGCATCGCTTGCCGTTTCTTTACGCAGACTTCCTTTTTGCGCTGCTAGTAGCGCGTCTGGTGCAAATGGGCCGCGGGCCGGGCTTCAATGAAAAGACCGCGGGCCAGCCGCAGGCCGGGCAGAAGACCTCCGCGGGTAGTATCTGGACCCCGGGCCGGCGTTTTGAGACCCCTGCGCTAGGTCACGCACTAGCTTGCTTTGTTTTCTCCACTCGCGTTATCTGTAAAAGGCCGGAATAGTCTAAGCTTTCTTACTATTTTGTGACTTTACCGGACTTGATGTTTAAGCGGAATTCAGAGGGCTTGTTTGATTCATTTGGTGCTCCTGAATTTTATTTGTATCCTGAGCAGTATTTTTCTCTAAATTGTATATGTACATTTTTCTAATAGCACTTTTTGGGTGTATGCTCTTAATTTGTTGCGCAACTGCACGCTACCAGTGAAAGTTCCCTTCTGTTTTGTTTATATATATATATAAATATATAAGGGAGGTATATATAGGGAGGTATATATATAAGGGAGGTATATATATATATATATATATATATATACCTCCCTTGGGCACATTTTTCATGAGAAGGGCATACGGCAGTCAGATAGAAAGGTAAATTCGATAAAAGAGGCGCCTACTCCAAAGAATGAAGCAGAGTGGCGAGCCTACCTTGGCTTCCTTTTATAAAAAGTTTGTTTCTAACATGGCTGCCATGCTTACGCTTCGGTACGATGAACTAAACCACGAAAAATGTTTCAGTGGTCCCATGCGGCAGAGCAAGTTTTCCAGCAATGTAAAGCATGGCTCACGCAAGGGGACGTTTTGACTTACTACGACCAAAGGAAAGAGATTTGGCTTGTGTGTACACGGTCGGCTTACGGCGAGGCCGTCATTCTGTTTCATAAGATCGGAAGAGATAAAAAGCGAATGGCTTGCGCGTCCAGGGTATTGAGCAAAGCAAAGCAAGGTTATGGTTACATCAAAACAAAATGCTCTTGTCGTGGTGTTTGGCCTGAAAACGTTTCAGAAGTACCTGTATGGGCGCAGCGTCGTCATATATTCCGATCACCAATCACTAGCTGGTCTTTTGGGTCAGGGCAAGCCAATTGTCAATGTCAATTGCCCGAATGCAGCGCTGGGCTTTATTGCTCGTGGCTTACAATGATTGTTGGGTGTACCGCAAGGTCAGCAATATTGGAAACGCTGACGCACTTTGCGGTGGCCGCTTGCCAATGCAAAGGATGTCTGGGATTACATACACTTCTTTTAGGTTGTTGATAATGTGCCGTTACCTGCTGTCAAGATCCAGAAATACACACGCACTGATAGGGTGCTGTCAAAAGTGCTGTCTAATATGCACGGTTGGGCCGGGTATATAACGGACAGCGAGTTGGCAGCGTACTTTTTTAGGCGACGTAAACTGCCTGTAGACCAGCTGTGTGTCACGTTGGGGACTCGTATAATAATTCCTCACAGCTTGCGTAAACAGGTGCTGCATCCGTTGCATGAAGGACACTCGGGAAGGACGCACATGGAAATGCTAGCCCGTAGTTATGTCTGGTGGCTTCAGCTCACACAAGACATGTAACATATTGTCAGAAGCTGCAGCGCCTGCCAGTTGGCGCAAAATGCATCACCGAGTGTACCACTGCAGACGAGGGGGGCCAACCCCCAGATGGCAACGAATCTCCCTAGATTTTATCTTCACGGAGACCCACTGGTTGTTGGCGCTTGTTGACGCACACTCAAAATGGGTAAAGGTGCTCGTGATGACGTCAACAACAGCGGACAAGACCATCGAAAAGCTACGGCCTGTCTTTGCGACGTACGGGGTTCCGGAAGAAGTTGTTACAGACAACGGGGCCCAGTTTAGAGGAAAGACCTTCGCGGACGTTTTGCAGAAGAACGGATTCCGTCATACCAGGACCCCACCCTACCACCCTGCTTTTAATGGGAGCGCCGAGCGATGCGTGCAGACAGTGAAACGAGACCTGCTGTTCCAGCTTTTCGACGGGAGAACAACAATTATCAAGGAGACCCTACACACTCTAAAAAAAATGGCAGGAAAAAAGTAGCAACGGCGCGTCTTCCTCCCTTCTACTGACGCGCCCCCAAGCGGACACGAGAAAAGGGGAGGAACAAAACGTTTTTCTCCTTCTCCAGGCAGACGGGAGAAAGCTTTCGCCCTCCCGACTCATCTTCTTTCGGTTTCGTTTTTCGAGCAGGTCGCGCACGTTGTTTAATAAATGGCTGTTGAGTTGATTGAGCTTCAGCGGCAGCGAAGGCAGCCTGTAATTCCATCTTCTAGTCTAAATGTGCAGAATATTTCGGTTGCATTGACGTTTTTATCTCTAATTTCATCAAACGAGCAAACGAAGCCGCTAGAAACAGCGAAGTTCCGGAGCAGTGCCAGAAGCGCCACGTACACTGGGTAAGATGGCCGTCTCCGGATTGCGGGACTCGCGCACAAGGAGGTTATAAGTACTAGGAGGGGGCACGTTGCAATATTGGTGAAGCCTAGTCATAAAAAAGTTTAAACGATTTTGTGCCCAGCGTGACCACAGATCTCTCTGGCGATTGGTGCGCCTTACATGCCACGTGTGAGATGGATGGTTGATTGTAGAAGGACTCCTTGCGGGCTTGCGCGCGCCCCGTCCGGTAGGTTTTATCAGATCGAAGGCTAGACTGTGGTGTATTCTAGTACCCCACAGCAAGTCGAAGGCCAGCTGCTGTCACGTGATGTGGTCACGTTGGCATGGTAAGTGAGGAGAGTAAGGATAAAAATGAGAAAGAGGCGAGGCGTCAAGGGAGCATTGCTTGTGGAGGCTATGCGGCCGACGTCATGCCCTCTCCTACCCTTCTATCCTCCTTGCTCGCGCAGCACGGAACTACAGTCACTACAGTAGCGAAACCACGCGGAACTGTGTCGACGTTTTCGACGTTATGGAAACCGCAGGAACTGCGTCCAAGACAGGCAGGCTTTGCTGCCGGCTGCCTGGGTGCCTTCCGTGCTGGGTTCGGTTCTGTTTTCCGATGCCGAGTGCAACCGACGTTCAACGTGGTTCTGTATTTGTGCGTGTCAGCAACATAGCTGCAACATCGTGATTGCAGTGTTGGGGGTTGGGAACAAAAGACTGGAATTATCGCATATGTGACCGTGTGTTCGCGTATCAGTGGTGTACTAACAAGAAGATGAGATGACTTAAACTGGTCGCGCATTGATGCCGCTGGTCGGGCCGTGATCGGAGGGGACGGGGTTTCGCAGGTTGACATTCCGCTTTACATTAAAAAGTTTAATACCACTTGAGGGATTACGTGCAATCGATCAACGTGCGGATAGTCATGTTGGAACGCTGGTCTGGACAGTAGAAGCTCCTATCGCTATCGTAGAGTGGCCAATGTGACTGTCGGAATTGTCTCGTCCCCGAGAGCGATTGTGCTCTGGGGCAAGGACTGAACAGTACGAAATCGTGACGGAAAGTACGTATATTTACAGTATGGAATTTCGGCATTAAAAAAACAATAGTAGGTAAAATTGAAAAAAAAAAAGCTACCCTTTATTTTGCTGCTTAAATATACTACGGTTCCTGGAGAAACCGCCGTCCAAGTGGCGCGTTGGAATGAGCGCTAGAAGTTTTCGGGCACGCCACGGCGTAGCTCCGTACTCTTAACACCTGCCGCAAGTCGCGGCTTTGACTGCATTCAAGTTGATCGAAAAGCGATTTCTCAGCCCGTGAAGCATCACTTCCAGCTGAGTGAATATCCACTCTACACAGATTAATTCAAGACGGCAATTGCAGCTTTGCGCGAACACCACAAATAGAAAAACCAATAGAAATACAGGCTACGACGTGCCGTGTGGGGAAACAAACTCATGGCTTCGAACCGCATTGGAGCGGCTTGATTTATTGGCTTTCAAATAATTACGGCATGATCGAGCGTTTACTTTTTAATAAGAGATTCATCCCCTGAGCAATGGAAAAAAAAACATTCAAAATACTCTCAGAGGTACGACATTGCTGGGAAAAAATCAACATGCTGGGAATAGTTTTTATTGCTTAGGGAGTCAACGAAAAGTTCCGTACGTTCAAAACGACCAGTATAAAACACGGAAACGCAGAGTACGGGTGTACTGTTCGGGTTAGTGTGGTGTTCATTGTATTGATATTTGTGTGTGCCGTGTATGTGCTCAATGTATGTTCACCTGATGCTTGTAATAAGCGTAATGTGTGTATAGTAGAGGATCCCCAAGCGCAGTAGTGGCCTGAGGAAAGCAAATTATTTTTTGTAGAACATGAATTCGGCGGTACCTAGCGCCACCTAGCCTAGCTACTTGCAATGTATGTATATATGGATGTATTTATGCGGCGCTTGCTCTTTGCAACGAGCGTCTGCAAAACAGACACGCCCC